GAGTCACTTTCACTATCACTTTCTTGTTTACGACCCTTAGCCTTCTTCTTAGAGCGCCTTCTGCGGTCACGTCCATGTTCATCAGACTCTTCTGATGACTCACTATGTCTTCTCTTCTTGCTGTCTTTTTTCTTGTGGCGCTTAACTTTCTCCATGTCATCATCACCCCGCTGCTTCTTGCTTTCCTTAACCTTAACATCTTTCTCATTTATTTCCTCATCTAACTTCTTCCTCCCACTATCTCGGTCCAAAAACGAATGTTCCCGCCTCTCTTTCAATCTGCCTTCATAAGCCTCAGCCGCTGGCTCATCATCAATAATACCCTCTTCAGCCACCTGCTGCTGATCAGGCAAACCCAACGCAGCTCGAAACGCTTCCATCTGCTTCTCTTTCCTCGCAGCAACCTGATGAGTTTGAGTATCAGAGATCTTCGAGTCCCCAGTCCCACCAGTCTCTTCATTAGCAGCAGCAGCAGCTTCAAGATTCAACCTAGCTTCCTCAAGTTTCTGAGCAATCTCAGCATCCGAATAACCCTGATCCGCAAGCTTATCCTCAAGAATAGCAAGCTTAAGATGAATCTGACGCTTACGGTCGTGCTCTAAGATAGCTTTATTGGGCTTCTTAGATAAACCAGCAGTACCTTGATCATCCTCAAACCCTTTACCAACAGGCTTACCACCAGTTCTAGGCCTCACCAAGAACTTATTCGTCTGAACATAACCATTAGTTCCTGATCCTCTTGCGGTCTGTAACCCTATTCCGTTGTACATCTTTGAATTCTAAATCAAACCCTAAAAACGAAAAACGCGAAGAGACTGGGTTTCAGATTCAAATCGAAAGATCTATCGATACGAAGTAACCCTAAACGAAATCAAACACAGCATAAAACCAAACAGAATCTAAGAAAAACAGATCTTACCAGTGTTGTGTATAAGAGAAGATGAGAATCGTTCGCCGATGCGTGCTCTCAGTCCCAGGGACTCAAAGGAAGACGACGATGAAGATAGACAGATACTCTCTCAGATCAAAACGGACGGAGGGGTTTAACCATTTCTATGGGCCTATAAAGGCCTATTTAGTGTTATATGGGCCTAGGCCCAATACGGTTAAAATCCAATTTTGTTAAGCTGTGCGGCTATTTAATTTTATTTTTCTTTTTCAGTAAATAGTTATTCAATTTTTATTTTTTACAAGTCTCTATATACGTATACAACTTGCCAAAACAAAAAAAAATGTATTGGCAAAAAAATTTGTGTCCTGATTTTTCATTGTATGAGCACATTTTGAGAAATTTACCTAAAACACGTACACGATCAACTCAATTCCATCACACAAGATTAAACATTTATTTGTTAGACCAAGCAAGTACAACTAATAATGATAAAGAAAACTACCAATTATTTAAAACCTTAGCAAAACACCTTTAATTAACACTTGCAAGAATGTTAATACTACTAGACCAAAAACCTCTACTCTTGTCTAGAGAAAACCAAATCAAATTTAAAATGCTTCAACACTGTAATGAAACATATCAAAAAGTGAAAAGGAAAGATCTACTTTGTGTCAAGTGCAAAGCAGAGAACTCCACGGCACCTAAAAGTCCAAAGACTAATCTTGTCTTTGGCTTTTAATTCGTTACCCTTGACAACGGCGTTCCAACCCCCATTCAAAGCGTAGTTCAAGGTTCTTTTACCAGAGCCTTTCTTCTTCATCACCCATATCTTGCAACGTAAACTCCACTCCTTGAACCATTGGTTCACGAGAATCGTTTCGACACCAACGTTCCCTACGGCTTGAGACTCTGCCGGAGTCAAGAAGTCGTTTCTGAGTAACTTCTTGAAAGGTATTAAGAGACGGCTCTCACTTGACTTGACGTCAGAGGCGGTCAAAATCTTCTCATAGATCAGCCTGATCGGGCCTTCTGCTCCCTCCATCTCTCTCATCACCTCGAATAGCCACTTTGGCGTCTCTCTATCCTGACGTGGGAAAGAAGCAACCTTTGCTTTCTTGGATCTAACACTCTCTGGCACGGCACGCTTCTTGCGCTTCCTGTTCTCCATTAGACACGAAGAAGATTGGGAGTTAGGGTTTATACAGCATTTACTCACCGTATTATCCGACTCATCTGTGTTGAGGAACAATGGAGAAGTAGAAACCGTAAGATGTGTGTATGTTCTCCTAAAAAAATTATCAAGTGAAGACCTTCGTTTTTGTGGGAGATGATCCTCACTATCTTCAGACACAGTCATGGATCTACTTTTGTCTGTGCGTTGTTGATCTTCATATTTCCTAGGGCGGTTTCTCGTCTTACTAGTATCTCTAGTCACATGCTTCTCCACCAAAGACGACCTTGTTTCTTTTGGAAAGACAATATTCTTGCTTTCTTCTTGATCAGAGTCAGACTTGCTGCATTTGGATTTTGCTTTCTCTGTTAGAAGACGATCACGTTCACTTATCTCACATGAAATATGCGCCAGCATCTCCAAATCATTGAAAAACGACGTCATCTCCTTCTCCGGGCAGTGATCGAACCAAGATAGAGAGAAAGAAGCGAACTTGAGGAAGAGAGAATAATGCCTCTCTTGCCCTACGTTAAGACGTTAGGGTTTTGGGTTTATATATATTGTTTTTTTTTTGGTGTGGTGATTGGTAACTAACTCAGCTTGTCAACTGTAACGCATTTTCAACAAAGTATTGATATATATATACTTTCCACCAAAAAAAAAGTATTGATATATACTGGTTATATTTTTAGATTATAAATACCTTGCATTTTAATTGATCGACAAGATATAAAACTTAACAAATTTTGGAGATAATCATAGAAAACCTGAACCTCATATGATCTATCTAAATAAACCTATAGGTATGGTTTTATCTACATATTTATATTTTCTTTTGAAGGGGATAAATATGCTATTCACTAATTAATCAGCTCAACACAAAATCTCGTAAACGGAGATAACAGTTTGGGATTTTAATTGGTTTATATATTTTCTCATCTTGGAGATTCATATAATCTAATGAAACAGTTTTGTTTTTTTATCATATATATATATATATATATCTATGACTCTATCATTTCAATTTTGTATTTCTTTCTGGTGTTAACTGGTGAGTTGAGTTTTTATGTTTTTTATTTCTCTCGATCAGATAATTAAAAATGATCGAGTATTTAGAGGAAGAATATCTCAG